GAGGAGGTGGAGCATACAGACTGAAGGGCAGGCTGAGGAGAAGTGGAGTATATAATCCTCGGGTTCCGAGCTGATGGGAGAACAGGATGAAGACCAAAAACAGCACTACTGGTGAGTGCGATGGGTGGAGAATCTGAAGAATACAGGAAACAAAAACATATTAACCCAAGGTCCAAACATACAGAGTCAGAGCTCAGAGGAGGCCGAGTTTACCACAGATGGTAGCAGGACGAACTGGCGAGGAGTAGCAGGCCGTGCTGGCTTAAAAACCCTCTAGGTGGAGCCCCGGAGATTGACAACAGGTGATGAGCTGGCCAACTCCACTCCCAAGGACAAATGACAGGAAACTGGACCACGCCCAACCAGACACTCCCACAGCATATGACATTTTTAGTTTTAGTATGACATTTCCCTTTTTGTTTGGTTTTATTGGAGCAGATTATGTGGTCTGACTGAGCACTCTGAGCACTTTAGACAGCATAGCTCATTCACCCATTCACACCCATTCACACCCATTGATGCAAGCATTTTTTTCTACTTTTTTCTACATAAATTGTTGTTTAATGTTGTAGTGATTGAAATGATGAAAAGACATTTTTGTTCAATGACTCTTGCAATTCTAAGAATTACTCTATTTACTGATACTTCAAGATTGAAAAATCTATAATGCAAACTCCTCCCAGAAAACATTGTCAGCCTGGTCAAAATAATTACAAAACCTAGCTAATACCCTTTTTATGTAAAGCAGAAAAAGGCAGCAATTTGGAAATAGAGCTTAATTGACATTATGTTTCGCGTTACCTCACACACAGTTACAAAAATATCCTCAGGTTAATCTCAGTTGTATTATGACGGTACAGCAAAGTGTTTAAATTCCTGCTAGTGTGTGTGTCATAGCTTGTGTGAGGACTGCCAGTGGTTTGGAGGGTGAAGTGATTACCTAGCAGACGGTTGGCTTCAGACAGGGAGAGGTGGTGGTTTTCGGGTAGAAAGACAGTTTTTAATCCTTCAGACCTGAACAGCTCACTCAACAGTCTTACCGTCACTATAAGCTTTTTCTTTTTTCCTCCTTACTTTATGTACTGCTTTTTCTTTGCCAACATAGTAACATGATAATACAGATGTGTCGCACTGATGTTAAAGTTTATTCTAAGAGAGAACCCACTGATTGTAGCCATCCTGTTGAAATAATGTTGTTTGTAAAAAAAAAAAGAAGAAAAAAAGAAAATGTGATTCACAGAATGTTTATTTGAATAGAAATTAATTTTCACATATTTTAAACTTAACTAACTGTCTCTGTTTAGTGCAACTTTCTTGTAGTTGTCCACTATATTTCAACATTGTAATAAAGTTCACAGGTATAGTAACTGTTGACTTTGCAGATTACATGTTTAGAAAACTACCTAAAAACAAACAGAGTATATTATTCTGCATCTAAAATGATGAGCATGACCAGCTGTTAACTTTACTTTAAAATTTTGGAGTGCACCACTTTTACTAGTACTAGTACTACCTTAAGATAATGTTATTTCATATGTATTATACATTGTGGGAAGAAATATTGAGAAATATATAAGCCAGATTCACTCTTCTTACAGCTCAGCTGTAATACAGTTATTACAGCTTATTCACTAGCCACTCATTAACTATGCATGCTGTAGAGGATGTAATGCACATTGGTTTTATCAGAGCTTTTTCATCTGAAAATATCTGCGTACTGCAGACATAAATAGACAAAAAGCAGCTTCAAACTGAGCAGAACTGCAGAGTCCTGTGATCATCTTTAGTGTTTTTATCATTGTTTTGATTAATTCTCTGTAAGTAAATCTTCGTATTGAATCTAGAAATTATATACACTGTTACCTTCAAAACGTGAAGCTTTTCCATATTTGGGATTCTGGATAAGCTTCTGTATGGGTTGTATTTCCAGACACAAGACTTAATTGTTATTCTGTATAATTCTGTATGTCAGTAATGATAAAAAAAAAGTCTGCTATTGTGAGTAAAAACAGTAGATAGACAGATTCAATGAGGCAAAAAAAAGCCCTAGTGCAGGCCTCTGAATGTTCTGGCTTATGAAACCTGTCCAATGAAGCGATAAATATTGCAGTATAATACGCTAGGAGGGCAATGGAGGCTTCTATTTAGGGATAGTTCATTTTAAAAATTAGAATGATGGCATTATTGAGTACATCCTGATTGTGTTTGTGTGAGGAAGAGTCAGGAGGAATGTGTGACTGTGACACAAAGTACTTGGAATGAGCACTTTTGGTAAAAATGTATGTTTATGAGAAAAATAAGAGGAGAGTGAAAAAATAAGACATTTGCATGTGGATTAGCGCAACAGTGAAAACCAACAAGAGAAAATAAGACTGTTAAAGAACCCCAAAGTGACTCTCAGTTCGGGAATGTTGTGTGTGGTGACCACTGTAAGGTGTCTGACCCCTGAAACAATGGCCTACAGTTCTTCTCAAGGCCTGCTAACACTCTACTGTATGTCCTCATCCTGGCTGCTGGCCACAGAGTGTCAGTGTGTGTGTGTTTGGTACAGTTGCAAGACAATGACAGCTTGTTTGCCGCGAGTGTGGATGGAGGGATAAACAGAAATAAAGGACAGGGAGAAAGAAGAGTTTGTAATAGGGTCATGCTGTCTAAGTGTTGGGCTGCAGTGTGTATTTGTGGGATTTAGAAAGTTGTAAGGGGTAATTTCTTAACTGAACATATTGATTTAAGTTATGTCAGGATGAAGTGCATTTCATATTCTTATTTTCTTCCTTGATGCATCTTATTCCAGAAACGGTTTGTCAGTCAAATTGTGCCTCTGTGTCATGGATTAGTTTGCATCATATTTGCTTTTTATGCTGTACTGTATATTACCGCTCTACTTTTCTCCACATTGGAGCTTGCTGAACAGGTGCTTCAATTAAGCATTTAATTAAGCATTAAGATTCCTTTCAAATTAATATGATTCCCAGTAGGGCTGTTCGATATAACGATATATATTGGATGCAATATAAAAACATCTATCGTTTCAGTTTACGCTATCGTTTGTTTAGTGGTGTCGCAAAATAAACTGTTTATGGCAATATTTTTTCATGGTTTTGATGGTCACTGTAGTGGCTATATTAATTTCTTAAAGTTCTCTTTTTCTCTTATATTTAATATAACCACACTACGAACGGACAAGCACCTGTTTTTATGCGTTGCCGTTAGCAACAACGACAGTAAAACCATCGCGTGTCCGCTTGTTTATTTTCCACATAACCCTTTCACAATAAAGCTCAAGATCCTGTTGAGACTTTTCAAAATAAACTGAATCACGTGAAAGATGAAAGATGAGTATTTACGGATGAGAAGCAAAAAAGAGCCGCCAGGTGCTAAAAAATAAACCTTAGACTCAAACGTTAGAACAGCCTTTTTCCCGCAGCACGCCGTATAATAAATACTCACAAAGAAAACAGCACCGTTACAACTTATGTCTAAAAATGTATCGCTTCATGCATCGGTTAAAACACTCGACTCCAGCTACATGACGCCCAGCTGGAAACACTTAACGCAAGTCGAACTGCCCGAGATTCACAGCATTTACAGAAAATGTTAAATCCTTGTGATTCATATTGTTAAGGGGACAATAGATGTCTTATATCGGGATATGAGATTTTGGTCATATTGCACAGCCCTAATTCCCAGTTCCAGATGCACTGAAGCATCCCCACAGCATAATACTCCCACTACCATGTTTCACTGTGGGGACGGTGATCTTTCTTCTTTCTTCGCACATAAGCAACATATCTGTGCTTATAGTTTCATCTCATCATCAGTAATTCTTTTTTTTTTTCAATTCTGAACTGATTGCTTTTGTTTTTGGCACAATGCTTTCTCAAGTAACAGTTCAGGCCCTTTGTGAAGCTTTTATATTGTGAGTAAAGATACTCCTCAGTTTTGACTAGATTTTTCAAGCTTTGAGCATTTGAAAGGTGCTTAAAAAGAAGTAAATGGTTCAATAAAAAGGTCTGTTTTCAAGTTGCTTATTAATATTTACCCAGGTCATTTTTTCTGAAATATGCCTGCTACTTTCTGTAGATAGAAATAATTTACGTTTTCTAAAAAAGAAGTCATATGTTGAAAATCCCTTGCTCTGTTAAAAAAAAGAACTTGGGAGATTTTTTCCTAAAAACTGCCTGATAAAGTTTATAAGTGTAGTGAGCAACATGGGCGCCTGACTAAAGGTGAAGAAAAATATCATTAAGCAAAAATTAATATAAGTAATTTTGTCCCTTTTCTCTCCAGTAACGGGACTATGGACCTGAGCCTGCGAGATGCTCTGGGTGGAGGTGGCGGTGGCGTCCAAGGTGGGGCCCCTGGTGATGCCCTTCTGAAGAGAGACTTTGTGGCTTCACTGGAGAAAGAGAGCTACGATGACAAAGTTGGGGAGACGGTCTCCAAGAGTGACTACCGACCCTTACTGGATGGAAAGGACACCAAGAGCGGTAAGTTGCTACAAGCATTTAAACATAGACATAGTGATTTTCTTCATGTGATCTTCTGGCTGAATGGGTTGGTTGGTAACCCATTAGATATTTAGATATTTTGGCATCACTAGGGTTCAATTTAAGTTGCCTGCCTCACACTGGCGTCCAGTTCACTCTGAAAAACTGAAAAACACAACCTGTATTTACCAGTTGGTTCTGTAGAATGAGCCATCAGTTGATGTGTGCTAGCACTGAGATCAGCTGGGATTGCAACTAAGCTTGACTTCATGGCCTGCTTGAAATAACATTAGGCTTGCGGCGCTTTTAAACTGAGTTACATCTTATCAATCTGATGGTAAGTGAAAGCTTAATAATGAAGCTGTGCCGTCTGTGTATGGCTGTTATTGTAGTGCGCCATATCTTAAAGTTATTTTATAAAGTCTACCACATATCTATATGATAATATATGTAATTTAATAGAAACAGAAAGGCAACATTATGGTACAGGACTTGGTGATTGGATTGGAGACAGTATGCTGCTTAGTTTTTTTGTCACGTTAGAAACCTGATCACTTGAAGAACCTCTGGCACTCAGTTTGGATCCAACACTTACTATAATTCAGTTTGACACCATCCGTTTTTTAGACAGTCCGTCTCTGGGTCAAAGTTCATTTTCAGACTTTACCTCTTAAAGAAACACAGAAGAAATAGGCTACGTTCACACTGCAGGTCTTAATGCTCAATTCCGATTTTTTGATCAAATCCGATTTTTTTGTCTGCTCGTTCACACTACAAATAAAATGCGACAGCAAACGCTCTCTAGTGCAAAAGAAGATGTCACACAACGCGCTCTGTTTAGACCCAGAACAAACTATATTGTTTGACTGATGGCCTTAATATAAAGACTTCGGACTTCATGTTTCCCGATTTTTGCTTTAAGTTATTTTGTTATTTACATAATAATGTAAATAACCTAATAATGATCCTTATTGCTGTTTTAGAGGAGCGGTGCTTCAAAGGATAGTTGCAGATTTCTGTCAGAACCTGCAGGTTATGCAGTACAAATAAAATGTTAACGTTTCTCCAACGTTGTTTTCCCAGCAGTTTCACCGGATGGCCAGCAAGCGTTCGCGATGTCTTCTCTGGCGCTGATAATTGGCGTCTGTCTTGTGTCAGTGACGTAAAAGACGGATTTAATGCGACTTGACCGTTCACACAGCAGTCGCTTTCTAAAACATCAGATATGTATCGGATTCAGCACCACATACGAAAGTGACCCAGATCGGATTTGAAAATATCGGATTTGTGCCGTTCACACTGTCACACCATGATCAGATATGGGTCGCATAGGGTCAAAAAAATCGGATTTGATGCGCTTTCGCCTGCAGTGTGAACGTAGCCTTAGTTAGTTATAGAAATAGAAGAAATAATTTCCCAGGCTGTGTTGTATCGTTTGTGACTGCTAACATATTATTAACTTGACACCTTTTGAAGATGATCGGTGAAAGAGTCACCTCAGAGTTGTCCGAAGCTGTAGGAAAACATTAGTTAGTGTGGAGGCGGCTGGATCTCAGGGAAGTAATGTAGCACAGATAAAGTTCTGTTAACTGTTCATAATATCAGACAAAATGTGCTGAAAAAGTAAAGCAACTTGAAGCTGACTTGGCCTCAAAATGATAATTTGTCACACGAGCCTGTGATTCAAATGAAAATACCACCAAAGCAAGGTTTGACATGACCATGTTAATCTTCCATAGATGTTGAGTTGATCACAACTGTGTTATGAAAATGGTGGAGTACAACTGTCCTGTTAGTTTGGTAATGTTTCCTGGCTTGCGGTACTATAATATGGAGAACTGAAGACATATCACTAGATGTTAAGAACGACTGGTGGATAGGGGAGGAGATTTCGATTGCTTTTTGTCAGCACAACGTGTCTGACACGCTTGGTTACTGACTTTTAATAAATAAATAAATCTGAGATGCTTGTAAAAACGTGTATACAGCAACTGTTGCCTGAATATTTTTCTGTGATTCATTCCCTACATCATGGTAAATAAATATGGTAGCAGTAGATATTATATAGTGGTTTTAAAGTATACAAACATTGTCTATGAGGGCGCAGTGGAGAGATAAGCTTTGAGACTGCTTGCCTTCCTTCCATAATTGAACCATAGAGAAATGAAAGAAGGAAATGTTAGGGCATCAAGGTTAAGAGCAAAGTAAAATGGATAGCTAACTACAGGGTGTGAGGAAGAGAACACTGAAGGAAGGACAGAAAAGGGGTCATCCAGTCTGCAGAGTTAAATAGAGAAGACACAATAGCTTCATAGACACACAGAGACATGCATTATTATAGCCTTGAGAGAGGGATTTATCTAAATTTCAAGGTGGCTGATTTGTGCTAACAAGGGACTACAGCAGTATTTCAGTTCTGTTGAGTCTACATGTAGAGTCTATAGTCGCTGTGTGGGCCTGTACCAGTATCCAGGGTCCCTTTACAAGGTAGTTTTTTTTCCGTTTCAACTGGCAAATGCTGGGTACTGCTAAAGCAAAGCTAACCATAACCACAGATTGTTGGGTAATGTTTGTATGTTTTACATACACCTGTGACATTTATTTATCTGTGGTATCACCGAGCACAGCATGTAGACCTACTGATAACTGTTCTATACTCAGATTTGTTAAACTGTCAAATGGAAACAATGGTTATGGATATGTAGTGATACATTAGATGGTAGAGGTGGCCTCCTCAGGTCACATATTTGGCACTAGTTAGGAGCTCTCCTACTTTTTAAAAAGAATGATGGAGAGGCTTTTCATAGAATTGGGGTTTATAGTTATTTGGTTAATGCTACCATGGGGCCAAGCTAAAGAGGTACTTGGAAACCAAACATCCATTAAGAGAGAAACTTAGCCTTCTTTAGACAAATGATTGGTATGAACCAGATCCAGCCAGATGGTTGGATAGCAGGAAGTAGCCATTTGCAAATAAATAAACAAAAAGAAATAAAGAATTAAGAATTTAATGCTGGGCCCCCAAATGGGCAGTCAGAAATATGACCAAAACCAAAAAAAATAAGAAAAAACAAGACAAAACAAACAAGAATTAACAATGTCACATAACATTGCACAGATATGAATTTAAAAAATACCACCGTATGTCCTTATTTTACATAATCACTTATTTCAGTTATATTTAGTTAGCATTTGTTTCACAGATTAATTGTCTATAGATTTAGGGAATAATGAATCTAGTAATGAACCTCGTCCCCTATTCAGAATTGCATGCTGGCTGAAAAAAGAATAACAATAACATTTCACTAACTAATTCATTGTTAGTTATCTTTTGCATGATAATGAAGATAGTTCAGCATCATCATTAATTCACATATACTCACAGATTTCTCTTTAATTCAGAATGGTTTAAGTTCATATAAAACAGGGACAGCTCATGTTCCTCAGATTATACTCTACATATCCAGGCTATCAGGGATCTTCCTGGGACTGTGTGTCACTTTAAAGATTGCTTTAAAGTGTACATGACACTTTGGCTGACCTTGTCTAGACTGAAACTGGCTGTAGGACTGTCTGTCTTTTCTCTCAGGCTTGTTCTCTGCATTTTTTCATAGTTTCATTTTTATTTCACTTTCTCTTTCTCTCAGTTTCTGTTCCATCCCTCTTTTTTGTCCTTCTCCCTTCCTGTCATTGTCATGCTGTGTTGGTCTGGAGACAGTGCTGCCTTAGCATCATTGCCTTCACACACACACACACACACACACACACACACACACACACACACACACACACACACATGCTCACACAAAGCCATAATTAGCACCCACCTTGAGGCACAGCCTCGTCCATCGAGTTGAAAGTGAACCTGTCTGGCTTTTAGTGTTTTATTTGCAATAATCCAGAGCTTTAAGGAGCCAAAATAATGCATAAACCCTTGTCTATGGCACTAATATAGCATGTTGGTAACTAAAGGACATATACTCGATCTTCCCCTTGCTCATACCCTCACACCCAACCCAGTACTGTATCTCTCTTTAGCAGAGTCAAGTGATGTCTTTTCACAGACATCTATACAGTCTGACCTTTGCAGCCAGAGGAGTTGTCCTCTGTTGGGTATGAGAAACAATGGAGTCTACCTCTAACAGGAGTTAACCCTGATGATATCAACATGGTTTGATGATTTATAAGCAGTTTATTATATTAACCTTTTAGTTTGCCTTGCACAATCAGTAGTCTGATACAAAACTCTTACTCTGACCCCCACAAACCAAGCCTAGTCAAGTGCTACAGGCAAACAGAATTATGACTGTCAGAATGAATGCTGCAAGAGTTGTGAAAAAGCTACATTTAATGTATGTTTTAATGTATGTTAGGCCTGTAAATGGTAAGTAGAGTTGATCTCAAAAATGAAAAATATGCATATGTTTAGTACAGTTTTTCCAGGCATAATTAGTGCACTACTAATATTTTAGCTTTTTTGGTATTTGCTTAATTCATAGGCTGGATGAAAGTATAGTTGACTTCATTTTTGTGAATAAAAAGATCTCTACATGTTTCATTTGTCATATATCTGATCCATTGTGGAAAAAGATACATTTGATATGTGAAGCCAAAATTTTGCAGAAGTCACTGGAACATAAACTCTTTATTCAAGTTAGAGATGGTTGACCAGAAAAGGTCTTAAAACTGTGATGAGTTGAGATGGAATTGCCCATGCATGAGAATCAATTTTTTCAATTCATTTCAGTTGAAATGCAATTCAAACATTAGCTTCAAGGCATTATATATTGCAATGTAAAGTAACAGATAGCAACCCCACCAATCAAAGGACCCCTTATGAGCAAGCACTTGGCAACAGTGTGAAGGAAAAACTCCCTTTGAACAGGAAGTAACCTTCGGCAGAACCAAGCTAAGGGAAGGGCAGCTATCTGCTGTGACCGTTGGGGGGTGAGGGGAGGGAGACACAACAAGAACATCTAAGCATTGGTGACTATACGCAG